ACAGCCGGAGTTCGACATTAAAACACCTGCAAAAATGGGTGAAAATCGGGGACTTTGCCCCCCCATAACTCGAAAACGGTGCGTATACTCAATCTGAAATTTTAGTATGTGTAAAGGGTCACTCTAAGGATGAAAAAAAACCTCACTTCGACCCCAATTTCGAGGGCCCAAAAATGGGCCGTTTTTGGCCCTTTTTGTGCATGGCTCTTTATAAGTTTAAGAAAAGAACAAGTTGCAGGTATTCAATACCTGTGACAAAGTTTAACAATTTCCGCCGCCATTTTATTTTTTTATGAGAAATTGTTGATTGAATCTATTTGAAAATTTTACTGAATTTTATCGGCAACACAAAGAAAATTCAGCGAAATTTTCGGACAGCTTCGTTGAACAATTTTCTGTAAAAATATAAAATGGCGGCAGAACTTTTTAACCGTTGCATAGCGCTTGTGATACTTTGGCCGGAAGGTGACGATATACGAGTATTCTCAAACGCTTTCCCTCCGGTCATCCGCTCATTCCGCGTTTATTCCTTGACGTACCCTTATTTTTGCGGTTCATTCCAGTATATAATCCGCGTAATTTTTGCGACCGGTCATGTTACAATTGAAGTCTTTTTAGTCTCCAGCAGTAGACTGAGACTTATACTTTAGAATCAGAAATGGATGCTACAAATTCTCAGTTCTCATTACAAAGGCTCTATGCTGGCACTAGATTAAGACGAATTTTGAGGCGCCTTCAATTTCATGTGACCCAATTGTGCATATTTGCATGGATCTGAAATGATTCAACTCTATCTTTTGAAGCAAGATCAAGGGCGACCTAAGCTTCATTCTATGGTCAAAACTATCGTCCTTAAAAAAAGTACAATACATATGTGCAACAAATAGTATCTCTAACCCAACGCGGCAATCGGAACAACCGGATGTGCACGCATGGCCTCTGGCAATTTGCAACTTTATTGGGGCCATTCGTAAATTTTGAGACGCGCTCTAGAAAGGGGAGGGGTCTAGTCTAGCACAGCATGGTGGTTGCATGATATAAGGGAGAGAGGGTAAGACACTGCGAGACGCACATGACATCACGCATTGTGGTTTTTGCTGATCGGGAATTGTTCAATGGTTTGAGTTGAGCTAGTTACAAAAAATGCCCATATATTTAGAACATGAAAGGAAGAAGGAAGAGGTGGGCTAGCAAATCATAAGGTGATTTAGTAACAATTTTTAACCTCTATCATTTGTTTGAATATTTAATTTCATCCTCCCCTCTTTATGTATCTTTTTTCTAAAGTTCAGAGTAGTAGTCTACCGCTTCTATACATGAGTCAATGGGCCTCCAGAAAAGGTATGAATTAAAGCACAACGTGTTCGCTATTGCTACGTTTTCTCGATTCGAATAATTCGATTAGGAAAACGAATCACTTTGTGGAAAGTCTGACTATCAACTCCTGAACAAGATATAAGTGCTTTCTTTTAACATTGGTAAAATGACAAAAGTACAAATGACGTCATTTGTATAATCGAACCTCCATTTGATCTGTGTTTAAAAAAACTTGTTTATACCTCGTTCAGAAATGTATTTAAAACTTCCCGTCGTGTGAATTTTTTTCTACGTAAGATTCTGAAAAGAAAATATGTGACATTTTCTCTTATATCAGACCTTTCCTATAGTGGCCCATTTACAAAAGCTAATGCTCCTCTCGACAACATGCCAGAATTTAGTTTCTCGCGGAAAAGAAACTCCCTGGGGATGGTGTCAACACTTTCCCATATTTTCTCATACATTTTAGATTTTTCATTTTAACTCTTTAGTCTCACTCAATCCAGTCTATTCTTCAACTTTCAGTTTTATCCTTCAACAATCTTCAGTAATGTCCCATAAAATTAATGACTAGACTTGCAACTGATACCTACATAGATTATAGCCAACCAATCACGCGTAGCCTTGTTGTCTCACCACCCGTGACGTCAGCAAGACTATATAAGCGTGGGTTGCCTAAAAAGCGAGTTCTTATTTAAGATCGTTTTACAACCATGAAATTTTTAGACAGGACCACAAGCACAATTTGATCAATTCGATAGTTTCTGATGTCGATCTTTGCAATCCATCCACACCCCTCATGGATAGCAGTGTCCGCGATAAGGCGGGAACCCCTGTGCGAATCTCCAAAAATTTAAATGATACTTCACGCAGTATTTTAGAGCAGCTCTTCTCTACTCACATAAAAGTCTTTGCCTCCTCAATTATTGACTTACAAAATGCACCGCAAAATTAAAGGGAATGGCACGACGTATTAGAGTACTGAGAATCACTCGTAGAGGAGTACAGGTCTAGGGTCTACAAGATGGGAAAAAAACCGTAAAGCGAGGGACGTAAGTCACAGGTCAAAAGGTGGAAAATAAGACCTCGATTTTTAGGCAACCCACGCTACCGGTGACGTCACCGGTGGTGAGACAACAAGCCTACGCGTGATTGGTTGGCTATCATCTATGTAGGTATCAGTTGCAAGTCTAGTCATTAATTTTATGGGACATTACTGAAGATTGTTGAAGGATAAAACTGAAAGATGAAGAATAGACTGGATTGAGTGAGACTAAAGAGTTAAAATGAAAAATCTAAAATGTATGAGAAAATATGGGAAAGTGTTGACAGATGGGAACTGGACGTTTGGCAATATCGCGCATATGATTCCAGATCTAAATATTCATGCTGACTTTGCCTTCTTGGTCGCGTAATCTTCAGCTAGAAGCCGTATCTTTTTCGATGCAAATGATGTTTTGTTCGATCGGGAACCAAAAGACTCACAAGTTGTGCTCCGGCGCAATGAGGAAACGTGAGCATTGAACGGCTATTCACGTTATGAAGATTCATCATTGCGTGGCCAATAAATATATTCACTTTGAAACGGCACTTTCGTCATTTGTTTCGAAACGTATCAGGAACAAAGTGTTTAACTATTAATTTAACGAGGGGGATAGGTGTTACTTTTAGGTCGTTTGTGGTTTTCATGGCGATTTCGCTTACCCTAAATTTGCAGTCGTAAAATTTCACTGTCATGTTTCCGATCGACTTACAGATGTAGATTCTAATACAGGCTTGTGTGGTGCAATGTAGAAGTCAATGAAACTCTTCAATTTCCGGTCCACCGGGAGCTTTCCGATTTCCCAGTGGGTCAGTCCGCCTCTGATTTTCTATGATCTAGATCAAATTTCCTGAAATTTTTAAGAAACTTCGTTCAATCTTTTTTTTAAAACAAAAAGGAATTGTAAATTGGACCGAGTTTAACAGAAAGGAACCAGCGGGGTGATTATTGAAACCATGTCAGCACGATAAGACAAGACATAGCCCTATCTTAACCACGCAATATATCGCATTTCGATGTCTTATCGGGCTGCTTTAAACTTTCAATAATTGGCCCGCTGGCCACATCAGATATTGCCATTTGACTGGGCCATTAATTTTTTCACGAGAGAACCTTTGTGCGGATTCCTTTGAAATGTTTAAGGAATTTGCTTCAATTTATGAAGAATTTGCACTGAAATTTGCACGAAAATCCGCACAACCGTTTTCATGCAAAAAATTAACTTGCCCAATTAAATTTGGCAATAGCTGATGTGGCTTGGTTCCTTTCTGTTTAGCGCGGTCCAATTAAAAGGCAATAGCTATTGTTACTTGATTCCCCTCCAAGAGACGTCACTCAGAAATGGCAGAAATGTTCCTGATTCCTAATAGGTAACCCCTTATTTCTCTTTCCCTACCATATGGGAAAATCCTTGTGTTCAATATTTCCGGAGACATATACCTGTGACGACGTCATCCATCTTGTTGATTAATATTACATTGCATCTTCCA